CCCCCCCCCCCCCCCCCCCCCCCCCAGTGCTGGGATTAAAGGCGTGCACCACCACCGCCTGGCTGATCCCTACTTCTAACATGATTTGATCAGAAAATGAAAGATGCTCTATAAAATTAAGCTTGTAAAATCAGTAATTGAAATATTATTCTGTTAAACAGGAAAAAAGAAAAAATAAACCACTTAATGCCTCCCTATTCTTAGAAAGCCTCTAAGTTACACGTTCTATGAACAGGCTGAAGGCTAATGATGAGTATTCTTGTTAGCACAGCACCACTCTGATTCTTCGCATGAACAAGTATGGAATTATCTACCTGCAGCATATTAGCACTACACAATGTCAGATTTGAGGGCATGCTGGATTTTTAGTTAGGTATGCTCAAACTATAAGCCATCCTAAAAAAAAAAAAAAAAAAAAAAATTTTTTTTTTTAAGACAAGGTCTCTTTTAAAACCCAGACTGGCTTCAAACTTGTTATATAACCTAGATTGGTCTTGAATTCCTAATCTTTCTTACTCTACATCTCAAATACTGGGATTAGAGGGATGGGGCATCACATCTGGCAATATTTTCCTTTTAATGGAATCAATAACTAGGTATCAAACTTTTTTTCACTTTTATTATTCATCTAACTACATGGAACTCCTGAAATAAAAGTTACAGTTAGTGTGAATTTCAGTACTTATGTTTGTTAAGTGAATAAACTTTGAAATAAAGTTTTGATGACATTACTCTCCATAATTTAAGTCACAATATCGAATATCTCAAACTACCTTAAAATCACTGTATCATTTTGTCGGTTCAGGTATCCTTCATTTGCAAGTAAGTCCAAACGGAAAAATCTATTATAGCCCCAGCACTCTCCAACTTCAAAGTCAGACGCAAATTCTCGAATGATATTTTTGGTAGGATCGTTGCAGGACTGATGAACCATTTCTACACGATATTCATACCTAAAATACAGACACCATTAGTACAGTCAGCAAAATAAAAAGTATCAATACAAAAAAATAAAATTGTTATTCCAGCTGAACTCCTTTCAAAAATGATATCATTTACAGAAACAGAAGTATTTCAGATGGGTCACTGCCTTAGTTGGGCTTACTATCACTGTGATTAAACATTGCAACAAAAGCAATTTGGGGAGGAAAGAGTTTATTTCTTTTTTTATTTTTTATTTTTATTTTTTTACCACACCTCTTCAAAGGAGAAAGGGTTTATTTATAGGCTTTACAGTTCCATGTCACCATTCATCACTGAAGGCAGTCAGGACAGAAACCTGGAGGGAAACCTCTATAAGGAAAAACTACTCTACTCTCTCCCTAAAAAAATTTTCACTGGGGCAGTGGTGGCACACACCTTTAATCCCAGCACTCAGGTGGCAGAGGCAGGCATGGTCTACAAGAGCTACTTCCCTATCTCAAAAAAAAAAAAAAAAAGAAAGAAAGAAAGAAAGAAAAAAGAAAAAGAAATTCTCAGCAAAATATGGTGGTCCACACCTGCAATCTCAGCACCTGGGAGATGAAAGCAGAAATATAGAAATATCCAGGAGTTCAAGGCATCCTGGGCTATATCAAATTTAACACCCTCACTTTAAAACAAAAACAAAAGATGGGAAAACTGAGATGGGGAGGACCTTCTTCCCTAAAACAGAAGTTACTCTGTGTCCTAGTTAGTGTTACTATTGCTATGATGAAACCCCATGACCAAAAATAAGTTGGGGAGAAAGGGTTTGTATGGCTTGCACTTCTACACAGTAGTCCATCACTGAAGGAAGTTCGGACAGGAATCCAAGTAGGGCTGGAACCTGGAGGGAGGAGCTGATGCAGAGACATCATATTAAGGGGAGCTGCTTACTCGCTTGCTCCTCATGATTTCTCAGCCTGCTTTCTTATAGAACCACAATGAGCTGGGCCCTTCCCAACAATCACTAATCGCCCTACAGGCTTGACTACATCCCAATCTTATGAAGGCATTTTTTTCAATTGAAGCTTTTAACTCTAGTGTCAACTTGATATAAAACTAGCTAGCACACTCAGTAAATACTATATGAAAACAAACCCCAAAATGTCTCATGTAGAAAATTTTCACTTTAGTATTACATACATGTATATGTTCACACACACCCTGAGAAAGAGATTAAGGCTTGAAAAAGTGAAGTGTTTCTACAGACCCTATGGAATACTCATCTACTAGACTGCTATGTAGATTGTTATACAATGATTCATGTTTTTATTCTACATTTTGGGAGTTAAACTACTCCACTGCTAAACCATGAACTGCAAAATTAAACGTCATTTCAACATTTAATGAAGAGGATTGAGAACCCAATATGCTTCCTGAAGCATTAAATAAATTAATAAATTGTATTTATCAAAATAGAACACTCACATCAAAGTATGTAGACAGTGTCCAACTAGCACACACATGCAAATTCCCATCTTCTCTGAACACAATACTATGAACATATAACATTATCAATAATAAGGTACTACTATTTCTAAAACAATGTGAATGTTAGAAAACTCCTGAAATGGACATTGGAGGTGTAGTGCAGTAATAGAGTCCTAAATCCCGGACTCAATCTCTTGTTTGAAATAAATAAATGAATTAAAGTACTAACATCTGTTTGGTCAGTGATAATAGCATCAACCTGAATCCAGTACCAAAGACAATAAAAAGGTTAAAATATAGACAGAAAAAAAATCAAAGACAAATAAATCCCCTTAGGACTTAGAATTTGGAATTTTAAATTTTAAAAATTCAAATTTAAGAAGCAAAACATAAATTTCCCAAAAGCAAGAAATAAGAGGCAGAGCCAGGCAAAGTGGTATATGTTTTTAATCCCAGGACTGAGAACTGAACCCACTGACGTGTGTAGTTTTTTTTTGTTTTTTTTGTTTTTTTTTTTTTTAAGCTCTGACGATTTTATTAGTGTTTAGAAGAAAAATCCCAGAGCAAGCAAGCTGTAAATCTCAGCAGCTATCCGGAGGTGGAGAATGGAGAAAAAAAAAAACAGAAAAAGCCATTGTTGTTTAAGCAGACTGGGAAGACAGACACAAGGTGGAGAGAAGCATTAGGAAAAGAATAAGGTAATGCCAGACATTAGAGAAACATGCTTGGAGCAGAGACAGGAAGAAAAGGGAAGTCAGGCTTCCCTAAGTAATTCAGAAGACTGAGTGATCCCAGACACTGGATACTGGAGGGTAGTTTTGCTTTGATTGTGACTTGGCCCTGAATTTTCTCTCTTGAAGTAAGAAAGTATTCATTTTTTATTTTACTGAAGCCTACGGCTGAGAAACTTTTAAGTTTTTAAAAAGGATGGATTTTAAGAGATTGGCTATTTTAAAGCGACTGAAATTTTAATGTGTTTGAATTTATAAAGACTGTAGGACTTTAAAGTTATGTTTTTAATGTGAGATCTTGAGGATGAATAAGGAAGGGCTGTGGCTTAATAATGATGTGCTTGTGTATCAAGTTGACAAGAGGTCAGTTGTATTGGTTGGTTTTATGTCAACTTGTCTCAAGCTAGTCAGAGAAACAAGAGCCTCAACTGAAAAAATGCTTCCATAAGATTCAGCTGTAAGGCATTTTCTTAATCAATGGAGAAAGGTCCAGCCCATTGTAGGTGGTGCCAATTCTGGGGCTGATGGTCCTGGATTCTATAACAAAGAAAGCTAAGCAAGCCAGTAAGCAGCATCACTCCCATGACCTCCAGTTCCTGCCTCCAGATTCCTAACCTGCTTGAGTTCCTGTCCTGACTTCCTTTTGTACTTAACATCAATGTAGTTCATTAAAGGGAAGTGTAAGTTGAATAAACCCTTTCCTCCCCAATTTGCTTTGTGGTCATGGTGTTTCATTGCAGCAACAGAAAGAAACTCTTAAGTTTCTTTCTAAGACATGAAGCATGTAACTTTGTATTAAAGTAGTTAACTAAACTGCTTACCTGCCAGGGCAGTGGGGACGCATGTTTTTAGCACTTGGGAGACAGAGGCAGGCAGATCTGTGAGTTCAAGGCCAGTCTGGTGTACAGAGTGAGTTCCAGGACAGCCATAGCTACAAAGAAACCGTGTCTCAAACACTCCTGCCCACCCCCACCCCCCCACGCAAAACAAAACAAAACAAACAAACAACAACAACAAAAAACCCACTTACTTGGAAGTTTCAGGTAAGCCAGCCGATAGCTCCAAAAATACAGATAAGTAGTAGCCTCGTACAACTCCATTTCCATCCTAAAACAAGAAAAGAGGTTATGCAAAACAAACGAGACATCAACTCCAATATACAAATTTAAAGCAAAGATGAAGCCTACAAACCAACATCTGATAATTGGGTTGAGATATATATCTAACCTTAAAAACTAACAAAAAATTTAAAAACCTAGATGTTTGTCCATATCAATTTTAAAATTTTATACATTAACTTAACCTTAAAAGTAATCTACCTTTTAAAAATTGTAGTTTAATACTTGTTTGATGAATTTGTGCCACTTTAACCTTTCACTATCATTCCCGTTTTGTTACATTTCTGTTAAGGAGAATTTATGTTGAAATACTGTATAAAGGGCTGGAGAGATGGCTCAGAGGTTAAGAGGATTGCCTGCTCTTCCAAAGGTCCTGAGTTCAATTTCCAGCAACCACATGGTGGCTCACGACCATCTTTAATGAGGTTTGGTGCCCTCTTCTAACCTTCAGGTATATACACAGACAGAACATTGTATACATAATAAATATTTTTTTAAAAAAGAAATATTGTATAAAGCACTTGTAGCTGTTTAAAAATATTTAAAATTAAAAAAATTTATATATTAAAAAAGTAAAAATATCCACATTAACATATTAAGGAAACTATAAAAACAGAGTTTTAACATGTATAGCCTCCTTACAAACCAATCTTAAGAACAAAAACTCAGTGAAAAAAAGACAAATGACTACTTATTTTCACTAGAAGTAAGTGAAACCAAGTACCAGGTATCAAAACAAGGACCTCAAGAATATCAGGGAAGTACTCTGCCACTGAGCTACATTCCCACATTCAAATAGGAATTTTTAAAATAAGGGGAAGATAACCAGAGCAAACAGAACTCCTACAACTTAACAGGAAAAGAAACAAACCTGATTAGAAATGGGCAAAAGACCTGACTAGGTATGTCTACAAAAATATGCAAATAGTGAACAAACACGTGACTACATGCCCTGTATCACTAATTACTAAGAAATGTTAACTAGAACCACGATGAATATGACCTCACGAGTATTAGGATGGTCACTTTTTTTAATATTTACTTATTATGTATACAATATTCTGTCCGTGTGTATGCCTGCAGGCTAGAAGAGGGCACCAGACCCCATTACAGATGGTTGTGAGCCACCATGTGGTTGCTGGGAATTGAACTCAGGACCTTTGGAATAGGAGGCAATGCTCTTAACCTCTGAGCCATCTCTCCAGCCCCCTAGGATGGTCACTTTTGACAATGTACAATAGAAGAGCTGACAGGTTCTTGAAGAGAATGAAGCATCCCTGCACTGTTGATACTAAGATGAAAATGATGCCAAATGCTACTGCCTTAGAAAATAAAACAATTACTCTATGACCCGGTGATTCCACTTCTGAATATTTATCTACAAGAATAACTGAAAACAGTTTCGTTTTTAATAATTTATTTAATTTTAAGCACATTAGTGTGAGGGTGTTAGAGTCCTGATCCAAACTGAGTTACAGACATTTGTGAGCTGCCATGTGGGTGCTGGGAGTGTTTGAGCCCAGTCCTCTGGAAAGGCAGCCAGTGCTCTTAACTGTTGAGCCATCTGTCCAGCCCTGAAAAACGGTTTCTTAAAAGAGATGAGTGGCATCTATGTTAACAGCAGCCAAGAGGTGAGGGTAGCCTGAGATACACAGAAAGAACATCTCAAGAAAAGGGGGCACAAGTTTGCATTCCCACCAGCAATGGATGAGTGTACCCCTTTCTCCACAACCTCTCCAGCAAAGGATATCATTGGTGTTTTTGATTTTAGCCATTCTGACAGGTGTAAGATGATATCTCAAAGTTGTTTTGATTTGCATTTCCCTGATCGCTAAGGAGGTTGAGCATATCCTTAAGTGTCTTTTAGCCATTTGAATTTCATCTGTTGAGAATTCTCTGTTCAGGTCAGTGCCCCATTTTTTAATTGGGTTAATTAGCATTTTAACGTC